CGAAAACACTTAAAACCAATAAAATTGCCATTTACTAAAATTATATTAAGTATCTATTAAAATTGAAGCGCCTGGTGCATGCAGATTGCAGAATAAAGAAATTATTAATTACAATTACATCACTATCGTATTTATTCATATTTCTACAACGGTCGAGATATCATTTTAAAACTAGTTTGAAACAGTTTGGGTGAAAATAAAAATCCGATAAAATTTAATAACAGTGTCACGGGATGTCATTCGAAACGTAGTAACATAGAAGATAGGACCTCTTACACATTAAGCACAATTAAATATTGATATTTTCGGAGACTTAAATACTGTGCATTAAAATATTTTTACTAGTGTCCGTCTTCCATGTTATATCTTCTTGATTTTCTTATACTTCTGTATAAAGATAAAACAAAATAATTCAAATGGTGTTCACTAATATAAGGATCGGTATGTAAAACAACGTTGTGTGATATAAGTATAAGTTGTCGTTGTCGGGGCAACGAGATTAAAATCGACATTTCCAACATGTCCCGTGACGCATTGGTACAAATACATACCTATATAAAGGTACTCCGGTACTAGTATAGTAGTATAACAATAATATATATTATTATTATGTATTAGTATACCTGTTTTTCGGGGTGTTGGAACGGTGGCGAGGAATGCAACACGGACAGGTTCTCCGCGTTGTCTACTCAAATACAGGACTATTCTCTTATCATAAACTCGCAAGCAATATTTCAAGAGCATACACAAGGAATTGTTCAAAAAAAATGTTTGTACGGTTTTTAAAACATAATATTTTTAATTTTCCAATGGTTGTCAATTTTTGTTGTTCAAATTTAAAAATAACATATTTTTTGAAATATTGTCTGGTTACGATAAGAGAATCCCTCTGTATATCGTATATATAATATAATATAACAGGGATCTCGATTCTCGGTGGTGTCAAGTAACAAATTTTTGTTTTTATAAATTATAATACCGACACAGACAACATTGGCTAATAAATAATTGTGTAATTCATCAGTGGAAGGTTTCTCAATAAATGTATGCAATATTTGTAATAAAAATGTTTTTTATAGCTCAAAAATTGGTTTCTTGTGGTATACGTCCACAAATAGTTAGATGTTCTGATAGATTAAAATATGTACATAATGTATTTTGCTTTTATATTATTAAACAGAGATATATGTAGAGTTTCCAAAATTTAATGATTGCATTACATATAGAACTGATTAAAATGTCGTGAATTTGAAAATATACTTAAATCTTTAGTACAACGGCATACGAGTCTTAATATATGAATGGTAGAATAAAAGATATTATATTATAAATATTTTAGAACTTTTTATGTATTTTTAATTTGCGCCCATCTGGTATATCTATATAATCATTGATAATATTTATAATCAATGGTATAATATACATATAATTCATTCATAATTCATAAAATGACATAAAGGTGCAAATGTGATGGGAATCAGTAAGTGTTTAATCAAAATCAAGTGATAATAGTATAAATACTATAAACATATGAATCATCACGTCATTATATACGTCTCATAACTCGTAAAATTATCACTATTTCCGATAAAATGTATAAATCATATATTCTGTATAGACTGGATGAAGGTTAAAGCGCATTTTGTTGTTGTTTCATTTATGTGTAGCCCCATGGCGACAATATCATAGCGGTTAGTGAGTCATGCCGCGACTTAGGCTACGGAAGTCGTCTCTGTCCATCAATATAATATTGTTTTTAACAGTATTATTTTTATTATTTTTTACAACGTAGAATCATCATTATATAAATAAATATATTTTGCGCTCATGTCTATTAAGACGAAAACTGCAATATTAAAAAACAATAACACTATAATAAATTATAGTTTTCCTCAAACTTACGAAAGTCTCATCCTTGAATCTTTTGTTAAGTATAATACATTTATATATAATATTATATGCATGTACACTATGTAATAAGGTATTATTATTTATTATTATTATTGTGTATTAAATAACATTCCTTTAATGTACTGTTTACTTTAAAATTTCAATGAGATTTTTAAAGATTGAGTATAGTATTTTTAAGTACAATCCCTAATACTTCTACTATTGTAAATAAATTAAGAATAAATAATTAAATGATTTTAACTTATATAAATAAAACGTACAGGTATATTAATTACAACCTCAAGAGGAGTTTTTTTACGCATAATATAATATACTATAGTATAATAATAAAATTATTGATGTTTTAGCTCATTTAATAACTTTTAAATTGCCGTGAATAAAATTTCTACTCATAATAAATTGCTATGTGTATAAATCAATATTTAGTCAATTAATATTTATTATATTATATTTAATATTACATATATACTTGACAACATCAAATACAATGTAATGTATTTCGTTAAATGAATAAATATTTAGTTATAATTATTATTAGTACAAACCATTGAAATGATTTACTGTCATTATTTTTTTTTTTACTTTTTAGGTTTTCTATAGATGGAAGCGTTGATGTAAAAAAATAATCGTGGGTTTTTATGATACTAATTTCTCTATACTTAAGTAATTTTTAATTGTCTGGCAACAGTTTGTGATACACTTAATAGATAAACAATTGCTAGTAAAAAACAATTTTAATTAAAAAATAAAAATATTTTTAATCGTATCATAAAAATATATAATTAAAAAGGGTTTTATACAATGAGCTTAGAAGAGCACATTATTATATTTAAGTGCATACATTTATATGTATTGTATTTTATAATAGGTGTACTAAATATTAACTATAAATAAAACCACAAAAATAATATTAATTTGATGACTGGATTATGTATAGAGGAACTATTTCTTTTAAATCTGTTATCAATTTAACATACCATGCATGATAAAAATAGCTATATTTCTTAATAATGAATGAGTAGTCAAATGTAGTCAAATGTCTATCAAGAAACCGGTTTTTATTCATAATTATGTTTAAGTATATACAGACGAAGAATCTATAAAATATTTTAAAGAAAAAGAAAAAGTTAAAACAGAATTTATTTATTTAATTTTAAAGTCATGTAGGTACGAGTATCAAAAATAATTTATTATGTATACTGATAAAATTGTATTAACTCATCATACGTACGAAATTGAATTAGTCTTACATTAAACCTATTTTTTAAATTCATTGTAATATCATAAATCACATTCAAATTAAATGAAATAATCAAATATTTATAAATAGAAAATTAAATTATTAACATAAAAATGATCATAAAATCATATAGGTAGGATATTGTAATACAATTTAAAAATATTGTAACAATATAGTTTATTATTATTAACTATTTATAGAGTATATTAATTATTATAATTGATTAAATAGGTACATATTTTCAATTATATTAGGCAGACAGTGAAATTAAATATAATTATATTATAATGTAAAATTATAAAAGCACTAATGTATTAATTGTAACTTATGAGATATTTAGAACGTTTTCTTCTAGATCTAGTAAGTCAGTATTCACTTCTTATGAGTAAAAAAAATTAAACCAGCCAATTGACAAAATAAAATATTATTTTTTTAATTATTAAAGTAATTAAAAATAATACACATCCATCATTAGTTAACTTTAAATTAGTAAAGGGACTAAATTATTAACGAGGACTCTCTCATGGCTAATCCGATCTAATTTATACTTAGTTATTACAAGTGGGTAATGGGTATTGAGTATGTTTGATATTTATTTAATGCAGAATCTTTATTGATTGGAGTTATAAATTTTAATCATTAATTAATAGGTATCTATTTATAGAAGCTTATTAAATTACACACTGAAATGAAGAAAATGTAATTATTGAGTATTATAAAGAATAAAAGAGCTAATGTATTACTCATAATGTAGTCCAAACTAACTATATTATAATAAATTGTTACTAAGATTACATTTTTAAATAATCCGGTAATGTTTGAACACTTTAATATAGAAATTTTAATCAATCTATAACTAAATGAATTAGTTGAAACGTGTGTAATATGTTTTAATGAGTGAATGATTAATAGAGAAATATTAATTCTAAGTAAACAATAAATATCAGTAAGTAAATGGTAAGCAAAGAACTCTTATCTATTTACAAAATATATAATATACTTTAATCTATAAACTATGTATCATTTAATAAAATATCTATTAATGTTGACAAATTATTATTTTATTATTATTCATTACTATTTATGTAAAAGTTATCAACCTATTTTTAGAAAAATATTTTAGTAACGATAAAAAAAATATTAAAGAGAATGATTTTAAGTTATGATGTATTTAGTTAATTTCTATTAATAAGCTTGATTTAATATTTGTGTTCCTGCTGTTATTTTAATGATAACTTTTATGTTTATGGTTGTTTTTTATAGATATATTTAATCGTTTCATTAAAAAAAAAAAAATAACTAAACAATATTTGTTTAAATATTAAGTGCGTTTATAAAATTAAATGTTTACTTAAATGCAGCTTCAGTAGTCTACGCAATAAAAATAGCCGGAGAAATTAATAATAATGTACCAGTCGTCTACACTTTAAAGCAAATCATAAACTTTATATTTTATTTTCTTAGCATAAAATAACATAATACATAATATTGACGATAAATTTATTATATATATTTAATATCTGTATTTTTTAAATTTTTTTTTGAAAAACTAGTAGGTATAAATTAAAACCTATTAAGTTAAATGTTTTTACGTACTTTTATGTTTACGTTTACATGCCCAAAATAATAATTATTTAAAGAGTTGACGAGATTTTCTAATTTTATGTGAGAATTGGATCATTTTTCTTTTAAGTATTGTAGTTTTTACAGGTTATTAAGAAGCTAAATATATATTGTATCAATTTAATAATTTGTTAGCACCAGCAAAACATGATATAAATTTGAGCACTTCAATATTAAGAATAATGATTTACACATTAATATTTAATTTAAAAAATTAAAATCTTACCTGTTTAGTGAACTAAACTCGTAGAGTAGTCTCAGCAGTTTTGAATATAGAATTGGACAAAAAAAATTACGCACAATCACACAAAATCTGTCAGTAAAACTGAACTTATAAGACGGGTTATATCGTATAAGGATCGTGAATACAAACTCAAGTTCATGAATTGTTATACTTGAACATCACATAAATATTATGAAGAAACGACGTAAGTGATATCGAACGCGCGCGTGGCGATCACGAATTCAAACTGCCCGCCGAGCGTAGCGAGTGTCGATGGAACGGTGCGTCAAGCACGCGTACACCACCGCGGGATGCGTTCCGCTACCGCACGACGACGGCGCCATCTGCAGGCCAAAAGCCTACACCACCGGATGATGAACAACAACAACAATAACAACGACGTGTGTAGACACTAGACACTAGACGTACAGTTGTAGCATCAAAAACAACATGTTATTATTCTGTCCGTCGGTGCATTCGGTGAAAGTCAATTAAACGTTTGAGTAAAAACAACAGCAATAATAATAATAATATTATTAATAAAAGACTCTTGTATTAAAGGTAGGTATTATGATCTAAACCGCTCGTAACCCGGTCACCGGTGGCTGTTGACATTTTCCATTCGAACGCGACGGCGGGCTGTTGTCGTTTCCGGTCGTCATTTTAATAATCAAACACACGTATAATAATTTAGGTATAGGCACCGTCGTGGATTGGTTTTTATGAATGATGACGACGACGAGGTGTATTATTAATAAAATATTATACATTACGCTTGGTCAAGTGCACGCACGCACTGCATTATGCCGGAAAAAGCGCTCATATTGAAACGAAAAACGATTCCGTCTCAAATATTCGCTTCCTCGATTTCACGAGGTCGGCCGTATGCGTTGCGCGCGTATTTAAGTACCTATGTCCTATGTGGTACCTGTCTGCCTACAACACATTAATACCTATATCAGGCTTACGAACAATATCTTAAAGGTTACGGGTACACTCGTATTCTTGTCGACGTGAAAAAATAAATGTATAATACATACACACACACACACACACACACACACACATATATAATATAAATAAACAAAACGACGATTATTATCTCTTCGTCGTGAAAGTCATGTCGAGCGTGTGTGTATGTGTTTTATCGTTTTTATATTATTCTGCACAGAAATACACAATAAATGCGTGCGAAAAAATCGCATTAGCCGTCTGGCTGATATATCTTCACCTGTAGTGTGCTTGAAATTTCAACCACAATGTAATAATATAATTATAACGACGACACGAGCTATAATGAAGTCGTGTTTGAACGTTTTTAATATGTGGGACAACGTCGACAGTATTTATGCATAATATATGGGTAATAATATCCGTAATAACGCTGTACCAGGTATGGTGTTGTGTTTATAAGAGGACGTCGTACTCGCGTAAGTTATCTCCGTCTTACTAATGCAACTTAGAAGTAATATTGTAAGAACATTATCTGTGTTCTCTCTTAAATTTGTTTCTATATTTTAATTTCTAAGTGAATTATGGTCATTTTTAAATATTATTATTTTATATATTCATAGTTCACTTGAAAATTTAAATATCTTTAAAAACTAACGAGTAAACACAGATAATGTTTTTACTTTTAAGTTTCGCAATAGATAATTTCAATCTAATATTTGAGCTAAACATAAAAATTCGAACTGTTGAATATATATTTTAATATATTTATTGTGCGTTAGAAAAACGAAGACAACACATGTTGGTTTGACGTCTTAAGTTTTAATACTATGCTGATTATTATTTATTTACTCACTTACTTTTTTTGTTTTACTGTATAGCTTTTGTGTTTAGTTTTTAATCATTTAATTCATCAATGTAGACCAGTAAAAAGTAGAAACTCCGCATAAAAATTAACTCTTTAAGTATATTATTAAATAATATTAATTTTATTATTTATAATCTGGATTCGGGGGATGGTTGTAGGAGGACTCGTACCCCTACTTCTAATAGTAATTAAAAAGCGTCCCCTTTAACAAATTATTCGTAAAGTACGCCGGAACGCTCCCATTATAATCAAACGTTAGTCAATATAAATCAGAATTCCGTTGAGATTAAATCTTGGATTTTTTTTTTTTTTTATTAGTTGTTACTTTACTTTTATCAAATGTATTTAATATAAATTATAGACTATCTAATATATATGTAAAAATAATTGATTTTATTAGTTATTGTTAACGGCCGTGATTAATAAGTATTCGATTAGCCGATCACATAATGGTATCTAAAATTGAAATTTATATATTCATATAAATATATACATAAATCGGTAAAGTGAGAATACGTGATTTTTTATGCATGCTCACCCCATCATGCGTAGAATTTGAATTTGTTCTTGTACAATTTAAAGCACTAAAATCTATATTTTTATGTTATAAGTATTTCTTTTTTCTGGTTGATTTCTTTAGTTTCCTTAAAAGACCTAACCTAACCATACACTACTTATAAATTAATATTACCAGAAAAAATATTTCCTTTGAAACTATTAAATTTGTATAAAATATTAGTTATTCTTAAGTAAGTATTATTTGTGATTTAAATTTTTCATGAAATAAATTTAGAATTTGAACATTACTCAGGGTTAGTAAAGTGAGATAAATATATTACACAGTCACTGTTTATACATTAAATATATTATATGATATTATATGCTACATACATTATATATAAAATAATATATGGAACGCTTAAAACTATATGGAGACATTAATCTCCCCTAGAATTTTTTTCCATTTCTAGCCCTGCTTATAATAATAAATAATAAATGATTTCAAAAATGTCAAATATTTATTATTTGGAAAAATAATCAATATAGTACCTTGCAATTCTGTCAATATTATTTGACCAAAATTTGAACTAAAATATGATAATATTATATGCAAAAATTCTTTTTACCCAACACCATATTTTGATTTATTATCTGTTAATTGCTAATCTCTTATAAAGTCGTAAAACATTATTTTATTTTCATATTGACGAAATACATTTTTTATCATGTTTTTTTCATTTATGATATATCTAAACACTTAGCTTAACTAGCTTTAGTAATATTTAAATATATGTATATCCTATAAATTATTTATTATGAGTGACAAAAATAATCGTGTTATAATCATTACAATTTTAAATATAATACCATGATATTATTATAATAAAGGCTTTAGTAATAGATTTATTTCACACGTAGCATAGTCACAACGTGGTTTAACGGTGCGATATAAAGATTTAAATTTATCATGAAAAATGGAGTATTATCATTTATAATACATATTATTACAATTTATACACATATTAACGTTTAAACGTATATAATATTTATTAGTATATTACAAAAATACATAGTATCTCAGCATTTCTGACATTGCAAATGGATACTATTCTAGAATTCAAAAACAGTTAAACCGTTAGTATTTGTGATAAAATACTATCTAAAAAGTAAGAAAACATATTTTTGGTTTAAAAAGAAACAAATAATATTAAATAATATTTCTTGAACAATAACGTAACGAATACACATACATAAACACAGCTACATAAACAGAATGCTGCGACAAAGGTTTATTGTGTGGTGGTAGTAATATAATCTCCATAGATATCTCGTAATATTAATATTGTTATAATAATGTATTCTTGCAGTCGTATATGTAAAAATACAAAGAAAACTAAACCCGGATAACGGCAGGGGGACGTGGTTTAATATGTTTTATTTTTATTCTTTTTTATCGGCGTTAGATTGAGATCATAACGGTGGTTTGACGACGGGATGACATAAAATAAAAATAATAATTTACTGTTAATAGTATAGTATAATAATATAATAATATGTGCTTAATAGGTTAATAAGTATCTATACAACTATACAACGTTAACCGCGGTTATACACCGCATGTCTTTACGTCATTATAGTGCATGGAGCAGACTATGTGGCTACGTCAGAATTTGCCATCATATGATTTTTCGTATAAAACGTTTCCTACCTACCTAAGATATAAAATTATATAATATGTATTAATGCAATAAATTATGTTGTCTTTGTGAGGATTTACTAAACGTAAAGTGAGATCAACAATACGCCACATGCGACTCGTACATTATATTTCTTTTATCTATTATTGTAATAAGTGTTCATATTGGAGTGCATAATACAGGGTGAAACATCGTGTTTTTTCGTTTTTCCATAATGTAGCTAACACAGAAACTGAAAAACCTTGTGATCCACTCTGTACTGTGTATTTATAATATAGACTTTGTACAAGTAGTCTTTTGATGTGTTGAGATATGTATAAGGTCGTAGAGGTTAAAGTGAAAGTTTTTCGAGACAAATATTTGCGACAAAGTGCAGTTGTGCATTGTGCATATATATATTAGGTATTAAACAAACGCGTCTAATGTATATTCTTGTATAGACGACGACGACGACGATGATGCCGTGACATGTCAGTTGTAAATGTAAGTCGTTAATTAAAAATTAGAAATTTGATAAAAAATTGTCGAGACACTCCATGTTTAGAAATATACTTGTCAGAAAAAAATGTTAACACGACGAAAAGCTAAAAATAGTGAAATCTTTGCACGCGGTAATTTGTGTATACATATACTTAGGTCAAATAAATTGCATTGGGATAGAAAAAAAAGTTTTTTAACGAATTTAACGTTAATTTTTATAACAAATCGATAGATGTGCTCAAAATCATACTATTTCAGAATTAGAATAATATATAGTTCAGTACTTACAGTTATAATCAGATTTTAATAAATTGCATTAATTAATATACTTATATTTTATAGTTAACACGTAATAATGTAAACATAAGAATAATACGAGAACGAAACTCGTTTGAATTAAACTGAACTGACTTTGAATGCCCGCTAATTTAGGGTTAATATTCAACATGAACGAGTAGGTATATACATGCGTTGACACTTGATCCCGCCATGGAAGAAAATCATACGACAAAAGAAATCCAATTAAATTTAATTAATGATGAATATTTATCGAGTTGGTACCAACATATATTATTACACAACGCAAACGACATTGCAGAATAACTGTACATTCGTATTCTTTTTTCTATTGTCTCAACACTGTGAGCAATCATTTATGAGTTTTGAGAAATTGTTTTCGTGGAATTCTCGTGATTAAGTAAAAAAAAAAAACCATCATCTCTTAGTTTTCATTTCCCGTCATGAAGAAAAAAATAAAAAAGGTTTGA